ATGTGCCTGTAGTCCCAGCTGCTCAGGAGGGTGAGGCAGGAGGATTGCTGAAGCCCAGGAGTGTGAGGTTGCTGTGAGCTATGATGACATCACTATACTCTAGCCCATGCAACAGAGTAAGACCCTGTTTTAAAAAACAAACAAAAGAAAGAGAAAGAAAGATGAAGAAAGGAAGGGGGAGGGGAGGGAGAGAGGGAGGGAGGAAGAAAGGAAAAGACAGTAGGGGTTGGAGCAGCTGCAATGGGTGAGATGGAGGCTGAAGGGGAGCCAGTGACCCCTGGTAACCAGAAGATAATCTGAACAGACATGCAGAGTATTCAAGGCTTAGGGAAGTGGCTCCCACCTATAATTCTAGCACTGTGGGAGACCAAGGCAGGTGGATCACTTGAGCTCAGGAGTTTGAGACCACCCTGAGCAAGACTGAGATTCAGTCTCTACTAAAAATGGAAAAATTAGCTGGATGTGGTGATGGGCACTGGTAGTCTCAGCTTCTCAAGAGGCTGAGGCAAGAGGATCACTTGAGCCCAGGGATTTCAGGTTGCCATGAGCTATGATGATGCCATGGCATTCTATCCAGGGCTACGGATTGAGACTCTGATAAATCTGAGTACTAAAGAGTACTTCAGACCTGGCCAAGAAATCCCAACTTATATACGAGCACATATACAATCCATTCTTTTCAACTCTAGTTACAACAGAAATTAGTTCCAGTAATTGGGTGGCTGCATAGAACCAACAATCAGAAAATGTGTATAGTACCACCAGAAGTGAAGGGCAACGAGAATTTCCCAACCCCTTAAAGAAATCTTGAGCTAGTGATTTGTAGAGCAAAGCAGTTATTAAACTGTTCATCCTGCATTGGCCTCCCAGAGAGTTCTAAGATTACAGGCGTGAGCCTCTGTGCCCAGCCAATAATTAAGTTCTAACGTCACATTATGTGGTTAGAAGTCGGTAAGTAAAAGGAGAACAATTATCACATAGCATTGTCACAGTTAACACTTTATTATTGCTGAAGTAACTATGGACCTTCTTGTCCTACAGGCTGGACTGGACCGTCTGTGGTATGTTGCCACAGTCAGAGTCCAAGTGTGGCCACTGATTAAGATTAGACTCTGAACTCTGGGGACAAGGATATCTGGAAGGAGTCAAAGGAGTGACGGCTCCAACCCTCTGAGATTTCCTGAAGGATTTGCTGCCTCCTCCCTAGTGACTGGGAGTTTCTTTTTAAAACTTCCTCATGAGCAGACATGAGTAGCAGCACATCCTAGAGGGCTCTGCACAAAGGTAAGTTAGAGACAAAAGGTTTCCAGCTGACTTGGTCCAAGGCCTGTGTTCTCTGTCAGAGTATGAACTGACGTTTCCAGGAAGCCAATACTGAGGCTAAATCAATCTGGGTGTGACTTTGTTGAACCTGGGAAGATGCCAGAACTATGCAGGTGTGGTCCTCT